ACATCTTTAAAATTTTCGTCGTTCCCCTTTTCAGGTTAAACTCCTCTCCTTAATTTTAGATAAGCCTGGACGTCAGGTTAAACTCCTCTCCTTAATTTTAGATAAGCCTGGACGCCAGAGGACTTAAGCTGGTCAAAATATGTTCAGTCTGGTACAAGATGAGTCAAGAAAATAAAATGGTAGACTACATTTCACAAGGACGCAAAGTAAAGTAATTAAAGACATTGTTAATGACACTGGACACAGTCAAACCTGCTGTAATGGTCGCTTGTAAAAGACAATTATCTCTGCAAATGGCCACTTCCCATTTCCGCCCTTTTGCATTTTGTTGCATTATAATGACCTGAATGGACATAAGGGTCTTGAACATCTAGCTCTCCGTGGCAAATTTGAAGATAAATGAGGCAGGAGTAAGCCCAGATCACAATCTACTTTGGGAACCTAAATAAATGAGTAACAGGGAAAGATCAGGGAAAGGTACCCTTTTTTTTAGAGCATACGAGCAAAGGAATGAATGGAAAACCGTGATCGCCGATGTCTGTCACAGATCTGACACTGGGTGATGATGAATGACACTGTGTCTGACTTCCACCTGTCCAAGACAACTATTATTCTCCTTGATGATGGGGGCCATTTTAGACAATTTTGACTCATTCAAAATATGTGTGTTGATAATGACAATGACAATTACAGCAGAAACAACTGACATCAGTCATAGCAATAATAGTATTATTGTTATTAATATTAATGATAACGATGATAATGATAATAATTATTACTATTAGCCTATAATGATAATAATAATAACAATAATTATAATAGTAGGCTAAAAATAGTAATAATGATAATAGCCTAATGATGATAATGATAATTAGTAATAATGATGATAATTATACTACTACTAATAATAATAATAGATCTAATAATAACAATAATAATAATAGTGCCTCTATCTCTGTCCCCAGGCCAGGGTGCATTCTGGGAGTTGGTTTTGCTATGAGTGGACTCTGCTCTGATGGAAAGACCGAGTCCCGTGTCCATGCAGTTACTTTTGTGGAGAAGTTGCAGAACGCATGGCCTGAGATACCTGTGGAAGACAACGCCTTCCAGGTTATAGGAATTTCTTGGGATTCTTTCAATTCTTTTCTCCTGTTGTAATTTTTTAAACCATGTCTTTTATTTTTATAGCACATGAAATGGTCGCTTTTAAGCAAAGGGGGCTATTCCAAAATATGCTGTTTTGGGGAAATCGAAGGTAAAGTTTTTGCTCCTTGTTCAGTTTCTTTAAAAGACAAAGAAAGTTGTCTCTAATACCAAACAAATATACACACCAATTCTCCAATGCCCACTTTTGGAGTAGGTCAAGATTTCTGTTTGAAAACCCCCGAAACCGGGGTTAGCCCGCTTGTCCTTAAACTAAATGTGCTCAGCTGGATTCTTTAAAGTGGGAACAAAACAAAAGTTCTCGTTTTTTGTCTCAGCCGTGTCCCCTTTCTTTGTCTCTCTCTCTCTCTCTCTCTCTCTCTCTCTCTCT